GCTTTGTAATCTAACTGGTTCTTTCTATCACACGAAAAAAATAAGTCCTGGGCCTAGCTGGTTTGTGCTCAGTGGAGAGTGCTGGCCTGCAGACTGTAGGGTCCCGTGTTCGATTCCAATCAAGGGCACATGCCTGGCTGCTGGCTTGATCCCCAGTAGGGGGTGTGCAGGAGGCAGCTGATCAATGATTGTCTCTCATCATTGATGTTCCTATCTCTCTCTCCTTCTCCCTTCTCTCTGAAATCAATAAAAATATATTTAAAAAATAAAGAAAAATATATATTTTTAAAAAGTCCTGTCCTTGAATCACTTATTTCACACTTGAAATTTTCCTAAGGCCTGATTAGCTTCTGCAATCAAGAGAACCCCAAATCCGTATGGTTTCACTGGTGAATTCTACTAAACATTTAAGGGAGAAATAACACCAATTTGATATGATCTTTTCCAGAAAACAGAAGAGGAGGAAACACTTTGCATTTTATTGGAAATAAAATTACTCTAATGCCAAAACCAAAGATATTAAAAGCAAATTACAGAAATATCCCACATGAGCAAATATATAAATCAGGCATCCTTAATTAGAGATCAGCACACACTACACCTTAAAAGAGAGTATTAAGATGTGAAATGCTACTATGTCCACTCTGGCAGGAAATACGGCATAGGAAATATGCACCCAAACTTCAGCACTGTGTGCCTTTAAGGGCTTTGTAATCTAACTGGTCCTTACTATCACACACAAAAAATAAGTCCTGGGCCTAGCTGGTTTGCTCAGTGGATAGAGTGCTGGCCTGCAGACTGTAGGGTCCCGTGTTCGATTCCAATCAAGGGCACATGCCTGGCTGCTGGCTTGATCCCCAGTAGGGGGTGTGCAGGAGGCAGCTGATCAATGATTGTCTCTCATCATTGATGTTCCTATCTCTCTCTCCTTCTCCCTTCTCTCTGAAATCAATAAAAATATATTTAAAAAATAAAGAAAAATATATATTTTTAAAAAGTCCTGTCCTTGAATCACTTATTTCACACTTGAAATTTTCCTAAGGCCTGATTAGCTTCTGCAATCAAGAGAACCCCAAATCCGTATGGTTTCACTGGTGAATTCTACTAAACATTTAAGGGAGAAATAACACCAATTTGATATGATCTTTTCCAGAAAACAGAAGAGGAGGAAACACTTTGCATTTTATTGGAAATAAAATTACTCTAATGCCAAAACCAAAGATATTAAAAGCAAATTACAGAAATATCCCACATGAGCAAATATATAAATCAGGCATCCTTAATTAGAGATCAGCACACACTACACCTTAAAAAAAAAAAAGGGAAAAGGCCTAAGCATGTCATCTCATGACATGACCTACTTGATATCTTATCTCACTACTGTTTCTTGGAATAAGTTGCTATGTTTTATGATGCCCTGTTCCTTCCTAACCCAATATTCTTTCCCCCTAATTCCTTTCCCAATAATCTTAGTTCCAACGAGGACCCTTCCCCAGACATTCCCTCCGCTAGGACTATCGTCCTCGGCAGTGTTGTTGGGATCAATTTATTAGGGAGAAGATACAGGGCTAGCCAGCTGAGGGTTGTCTCTATCCAACACAGCTCAAAGGGATCAAGAATATTAGACTCACCACTGAAGAAAATCATCCCAAAAGATCCAAGAGGGCATCACACTAAACACTGTGGTACGAGTAAAACCCAAATGGCCTCAGTTCATTGCAGTTAATAATTATGTTATTTTCACTTTGGGCACATCAGTGGTTTAATTCTTTTGTAGGATAGGTTTTAATGAAATAATTCACCCTTGGAAATCCAGGATTGAAGAAAGAGGCACATTTCAGTTAGTTAACAATGCCTGGGGTAGCGACTCATTCTAAGCTCTTTTACTAACATACTGTTTCACCTCAACTCTTCACTCACCTATGCTTTAACCTCCTGATTATAAAATATTAATAACTGCCGTAAAGAGCTCTAAAATACCAAACACATTAGAAATACAGCATTTTATCTATGAGTGAATAAAACTAAATGGCATTACTTAAAATCAATCTCTATATTTGATTTGAGGTAACAAATTCTGCCTTTTATGCTTTGAGAAAGTCATTTTTCACAATCAGCTTTCCTCCTCTCTAACCACATTTCCTCCCACAATAGTCTAACATTTCCATTAAATGTAGACTTCACTTTACACAAGCACAGAAAATATCTTTTTAAACTGTTGATATAAAACAATCTACCAAACTTTATTAAATCAACAAATTCCTAAAATACACACACACACACACACACACACACATATATGTATATATATATACATGCATACAAAGAGATAATAAAAAAAATACCAAGGTCAGTAAGCTGAAACAAAACCCTTATATGGAGGACCATGTGCTGTCTGGCAAGCGTTCATCTATCAGGATAGCAATGCCATAAGAACAGAAACCCCCTGCCAATTTTCAGGTAATTGTGATGGGTTGTCTGTCTTAAGCCAGCCACACTAATGACATGAATTTACAAGATGAATGGCCAGAGCAGGAAAGGCCATTTCAATCAGAGACACATTGCGGTGGTGACAGCAATAGCTAAAGCAGCAGCCAGTAGTTTCACTTTGTGGTGTCTCACAAATAACTTCAAAAGAGCAAATTAAACATCAGACTGGAAGTAATAACATTACATGACCAAAAAACCTAATAGACTTTTGAGTAGAAAAGCCATCAAAATTCAAACTAAACAAACCAAGAGATCAGGCTAAACGAAGCCAGATAGCTCATGTGTCCCAGCCCACAATAAGCAAACATTTCTAGCAAAGGAAAGACAGTGCCAAAAGATTAGACCTTCTCAGGTATTGCTCAAGCAAGATCTATCCCAGCAACCATTCATGTTTTCATGTCACATGTCATACAATAATATCAACAAAGATATTACTCAGCCACATTTTTTACATAACACATCATAAAGAATAAACAATATGTTCAAATTCTAGCTTTTGAATTACACTTAGAATATTCAAATGCACTTTCTGAATATTCAAACATACACTTTTAAAACTGGAAGAATTCTTATCTTTCACAAAAAAGCCACTTCGAAGACATACGGTGTAGAGATGTGTGATTTCACTTACTTGCTTTCTTATGTAGTAACTTGTGAGTAGCCCAACTTCCTTTAAAACATTCCTAAAAGAGCAAACATGAAAATTAGTGTCAGGCCTTCCTTAATTAGAAACATCTTTTTTTTTTCTTTTTTTAATATATGTTATTGATTTTTTACAGAGAAGAAGGGAGAGGGATAAAGAGTTAGAAACATCAATGAGAGAGATCAATCAGTTGCCTCCTGCACGCCCCCCGTGGGGATGTGCCCACAACCAAGATACATGCCCTTGACCAGAATCGAACCTAGGACCCTTCAGTCCTCAGGCCAACGCTCTATCCACTGAGCCAAACCGGTTCGGCAATTAGAAACATCTTAAGGAACATTTTACATAAAAAAGGGTTATTGGAAATTTCATTTACAAAAAAGAAATCTTTGACTTCACTGAATATTGAGAAGAGCTTAAGAAATGATATCTGCTTAAAAATTTATTTCAAAAAGCAACCTAAACTCTAAATTACTTCAAATAAGCAAGAAACATTAGTCTATATTGTAAATAGTAGTCACAGTTACATTTTGAAGTGTTTAAAATAATTTAGGGACATAGTCATAAGACAATTAATCATAAGACAAGGAAAATGTTGCATTATTTATAGAAGTTTGATTTTCAGTCATACCCACTTTGTTAACGATGTGCTGACAGCCCTACTAGACTGAACTCCATGAAGGAAGGGACCATGTTGAGCTTACCAACTTGTCCCCAGAACTAAGCAGAGAGCCTAGCACATGGTAGTACTTGCTGATTGGACAAATAGATGAATGACTAGAAAGACTAAGCTTTTCACTCAGGAAAATAGGTTCACATAACGTATTTCAGACACCAGCAAGAATTACTGAACTGGAAAAACGAGTTCAAGTAATAAATTGAATTAAAGTAACGAACTCAAGCAATAAATTAGAAAAATGATTCAATTGTATATATTACTTATGCTTTGGTATTTAGAGTCTCTCTTTCAAAGAATTTAAAATACAGCAGTCGCCCTTATTTCACTTTCCATGCTTTTCGTTACCTGCAGTCAGTTGCAGCTCAAAAATATTAAATGAAAAATTCCAGAAATAAACCATTTTATTTATTTTTAAATATGTTTTTAGTGATTTCAGAAAGAGTGGGAGAGGGAGGGAGAGAGAGACAGAAACATCAAAGATGAGAGAGAATAATCAATTGGTTGCCTCCTGCCGCTCCACACTGGGGATCAAGCCCGAAACCCGGGCATGTGCCCTGACCAGGAATCAAACTGTGACTTCCTGGTTCATAGGTTGATGTTCAACCACTGAGCCACTCCAGCCAGGCCAATTTGTACATTTTAAAGTGTGCTCCGTTCTGAGTAGCGTGCTGAAATCTTGCGCAGTCCCACCCCAGACATGAATCATAGCCACACAGAATATATACACTGCCCGCCTGTTAATGATTTAGTAGCTGTCTCAGTTGTCAGACTGACTCACAGTATTGCAGTACTTGTGTCAAATAACCCTTAATTTACTTAACTGGTAATAATGGCCCCAAAGCACAAGAGTGATGGTAGCAATCTGGATATGCCAAAGAGAATCCATAAACTTTATCATGGGTCTATATGTTTAGGAAAAAACATAGTATAGGGTTCAGTACTACCCGCAGTTTTAGGCATTTACTGGAGATCATATATGTAAATCATTACAAATATTAAGAAAATCCACAACTTCCTACAAATGTTTTATCTTTGCAAACATAAAAGAGTAAGTCATGGATAAGAGAAAAGGTAAGAAAAAATATAAACTAAAACACCCCTAGAACTACATAGTAATCACACTACATTACACCAGTGATGCTAGGCAACCCTCCCTAGAGGTCTACCCAAGGGCCTGAGGGGCTCCAGGGCCAGGATCTTCACTATTTCCCCTTTGCTCTCCTTGTATCCTCACAGCCTGCAGCAGCTAAGCCAAGAAAACCCAGATCTTACCTAGTTCTCCTACTACAACATCAATAGACTTCAAGTGTATAAAAAGGTATCCACAGCATCCTTAGATTTATTTTTATTTTTTTGAAGCTAAAACTGAGTTCAGTCTTTTGGAGAGAATGGAGACGTGGTGGGCGGAATAATAGTGCACCAAAGATGTCCATATGCTAATCCTCAAAACCTGTGACTGTGTTAGGTTACAACTATGGTAAAGGGGAGTTAAAGCTGCTAATCAGCAGACCTTGGGATGGGGAGGTTATCTTTTTATCTAAATGGGCCCAATGTAATCACAAGTGTCCTTAAAAAGGCAGAAGAGGGAGGGAGAAGGAGTCAGGAAGATGTAACAATAGAAGCAGGGCAGGGAGAGATAATTATATTATTGGCTTTGAAGATGGAGTGGGGGACCATGAGCCAAGGAATACAGGCAGCGTCTGTAATACCTGAAAAGGGCAAATAACAGTCTCCCCAGAGCCTCTAGGCAGCGTTCTCAACCTGTGGGTCGCGACCCCTTTGGCGGTCGAACGACCCTTTCACAGGGGTCGCCTGAACCATCCTGCATATCAGATATTTACATTACGATTCATAACCGTAGCAACATTACAGTTATGAAGTAGCAACGAAAATAATTTTATGGTTGGGTCACAACATGAGGAACTGTATTTAAAGGGCCAGAAGGTTGAGAACCACTGCTCTAGAAAGGAATGCCAACCTGCCGACACCTGATTTTAGCCCTAAGACCTCTGCAACTCGTCTGACCTACAGAACTGTAAGATAAGTCTGTTGCTTAAAGCCATCAAATTTGTGATAATTTGTTATAACAGTTACAGGAGGGAAAATGAGTTATTCCTATTTGTTGTCAAGCTGCAAAAACTAATCACAACTGGCAAAAAGATCAAGAAATTAGTAGGAAAACATATATTTATGTTTTGAAAAGTCCCAAGAACTAAGTGATTTCTTCAGTATTACCACGCCTACTACAGGAGAGGAAAGGAAAAGTCAATTTTGACCTATAATATGAAGACAACCATAATAATAACTGTAAAGTTACTGTTTACTGAATAGGTGCAGTATAGGCCTATATCTCATTTCATCCTCACAAGAACCCTGCAAGGCAGATGACATTATCCCCGCTCTACAAACGACAGCACCGAAGCACCAATATGCAATAATTTGTCTATCACATAACAGAACCATGCCTGGCAGAAATAAGACTCAAACCCAGCATTACCTCACTAAAGGCGATATTTTCTCACTGCTTTACAAAGTGTGGGTGGGGGTTAGGGGGGTGTGTGTATTCAATTCAAAGCATAATTTAGCACTAAATTTAGAACCAGAAAACATGGGTGTGATTAAGCTCTACAACTGTAAGCTCTAAAATTTTATCTCTAAATCTAGAAAATGATATTATTAACCATTCTCATGGACCCTCAGTTGCCTCATCTATAAAGTGGAGTTGATATCTCCAGGAGCAGAAAATGGAGATTAGAGGAGATGATGTAAATAACCTATATGAAAGTAACTAACAAGTGTCTGTCCTACAGCAAGTATCAATGCAAACGACATCCCAGTGCTTATCACTATGCCTGGAACTGAACAGGTTTCCTCAATATAGGTTGGAGAATGAACTAAGATTAATGTGATCATATACACAAGAGCCTTCTAGTTGTAGGTGGAAATGTAAACTCTTTTCATTACCTACTAGGACAGGCTGCAAGCTGCCTGCTCCATAGCCATTCTCCCTTTGCCTTAACACCAACAGAATCCTGCTAGTGGAGGTATAATGTCCCAGCTAAAAACATTCCCAGCCTCCTTAATGATGCGGTGGCCATGTGATCTAGTCTGGCCAACAAAAATGTAAGCCTCGCTGTTGGGTAGGACTTCTGGAAAGCTTCTTAGAAAACCGACACGTATTTTCTATTCTTTGCCCTTTCCTGCGTCTAACAGGGAGATGCTGCCTGAGGTGAAGCAGCAGTCCTGAGGCCACAAAGCCACAAGCAGACCCCAAGCGGCCTGGATCTCTAGTGACTTTGGGCAGGGATTGGAGTGATGCAGTAGAACAGTGATGGTGAACCTATGACACACATGTCAGATGTGACACGCGAACTCATTTTTTGGGGTTGAGTTTTCTTTGTTAAATGGCATTTAAATATATAAGATAATATCAAAAATATAAATCTTTGTTTTACTATGGTTGCAAATATCAAAAACTTTCTTTCTGTGACACGGCACCAGAGTTAAGTTTGGGTTTTTCAAAATGCTGACACGCCGAGCTCAAAAGGGACACCATCACTGCAGTGGAACCTCTGGAGGGAGCATAGCCCTGCTGCCACCTTGATTTACATTCAATGAAATTAATTTTGGACTTTTGGCCTCCAGGACTGTGAGAGGATAAATTTGTTTTTTAATCCACTCAGTTTGTGGTGATTTGTTACAGCAGCCACAGGAAGCTGAAACAGTAACTGACCAGTCATCAGGGCACAGCAGAGGAATGAATCCAATTACTAACAACACTGAAACAGGGTGAAAGACTAATTACAGCCTTTCTAAAGTTTCTTCAACTTACATGTACTTATATATGGAGTCAAGTCCCAATTATTCATGATAATTTATAAATGGGGCAAGCAAAGGCAGATGAGTTATTTTAAGAAACTTAACTTTAGCCAGCAATTTCAACTTCTTCTCTTCCTCCCTGTCCAAGCTATTCTTCATCACAGATATGACTGGCAAAGAGGCGGGGCAGATTGGAGTTTCACCTGTTTTTCCTTCTTCCTGGCAAAGATGTTTATGGCAGTTAAGACTGTCAATGAGAAAAAGATCAGGGGTGGGGAAGAAAAGTGAAAGGAAAAGCTCAAAGTAGGTCCTAGAACCCCATTTTAAAGTCATCCAGGCCCAGAGGCAAAGTCCCAGCACCGCAGAATGTTGGGTGCACCACTACTTTTCTTCACTTCCAGGTCTTTTTTTTTTTTTTAATATATTTTATTGAGTTTTTACAGAGAGGAAGGAGAGAGATAGAGAGCTAGAAACATCGATGAGAGAGAAACATCAATCAGTTGCCTCCTGCACACTCCCCACTGGGGATGTGCCCGCAACCAAGGTA